TTCGAGTAGGAGTGTACAGAAAGTACCACGAGCTTTTCAAAATTTCCTCAGAATTCTCATATTATCACCAACCCATGTATTTCTACACTAATATTGATTACTACTCTCATGGAGATTAATGTTGTTACATTACTACTCACAGATGTACAGTGCATTCCTATGTCAGCTGGAGAGGTAGAGTAGACTAGTGTTGGAACATATGTTCGCTCTCCAGTGGAGTTTTCGCACGAAAAATGACCGTTTTTATACGAACTCGAGTAAAAATACACAGAAACCAAAGAAAAATTCCCCAAATTTTCCTCAAAATTTTCATATTGTCACCAACATATGCTGTTGACCATGTTCACACCAGACACGACTCCGTTTCCCATCGCATCTCACAGTTTCCAAATCCAACACGGGTGACTCATGCCGCCACTCTTCCCACAAATCCAGCAAAGGCTCATAGCCCAAGGCCAAGGCGGCGTTGTAAGACTCCATCACACTGAGTACAAATTCTCTAGCGGAGCGAAGCAAAAAAACATTTCCTACTCTTTTTCACTATATGCCCATTGCTTGAGATAATGTCGCTCGATGCCTCGAGCCATCTCTGTGATCGGCTTTTCACCATTGAATTGCTCACAATTGGAAAATATCAAAACCATGTCCTTGTGGAAGTCAACAGGGCGAGGGTAGAGCTCCAGATTTTCCTGACAAAAACCAAATTCCCGAATTCACCGATATTATATTTTCGAGATCAAACGCTGACTTTTTTATCTACTACTCGAACGCACTGCTAAACTCTAACATTACGAGCACAACAGATTGAGGCACTCCAATTTCGTATCATATTCTGGAAACCGATTAGTATACTTACATGGCATAGCTTTTATGCAGATGCCTATGTCATCTATTGGAGTTTCACCCTAGTGATATGAAAAACACTAATAAGAAACATATTTCACATTTCACTTCGCGAAGACAACAACTGTGTTATCGGTGTTCGCGGAAACATATACATCTAAAAATTTACCTGGAAAAAACGTGTCGTGAAACTCCAGTGTATTAGGCGTTACAAAGGGATGCTGCCGTTGAGTGCCGCCTTAATAGTGGAAAATATGGTACTTCTCAACGTTTACGTCGAATTAGAGTATTCATGCAGCCGATCAAATTCTCGTGTAAATTACCTCAACAGTCCGCAAGTCCATAGGGCGTTTGATAATCTTCTGATACTTTATCTTTTCCTCCATCGATACCGCTGGGTGCTCTACCACCGGGGACTCCAGTACATATGCATCGCTGTGATTCCTAACACAGACCACTATTGAAATAGAAATATATGTTCGTTCTCCTCGAGTGACCTCAGGACCTTCAGAGCTTCCGAGTAGAAGAGCACGATAACCTACAAATTTTTTTCCGAAATTTTCTCAGAGTTTCTCCAGCACTCGTCGCCTATTATGGAAAAATTCCCACAGCGTGTTCGGCCGTAGCAAGCTCCGCCACTCATACTTCCCGTTTTTCATAACTTCTAATACTCTATGCTTATTCACGCCCCCTAGACGTCCTATTCATTACCACATTTCCTACACTTCTCTTCACTACACCCCCTATCCCTTATACTACTTAACAGCTCGATAGATGACCCTTATCGTTCTATGCCAGTTAGCCGTAAGCCTGGTGACCTCCGCCACATCAGCTGGCCTCGGCGCGGCTGCCACCACCGGTGTGGTATCACTCGGAAAGAGCGTTGGGAAGGCAGCAGCACTACTTGATGATGAGGACGAGGAGGAAGATGGAGGAGGCGCGAGGCCTGACAAACGCAGAGTTAACGCCGGGGGGAAGGATTTTAAAAATTTTCGAAAATTTTATTTTTTTGTAAATTTCAATCGACCATCTAGTCAGAAACACATTTAACTTTGAGAACTCCTCCCAGGATTTGACAACAATGGGGAATGTTGTTTACTGAAGAATGTATTCCTGGCCATGTGGAAATTTCGAGACGGGTTCCCCCCGAAAACGTTATAGGTTGCTAGATGATTCTCTGCTCACTAACACCATCATTTTCGAATCCAACTGTTACAATTGCTCTGTACCTTTCCTCTTTCAATGACCATCGCTCTGGTCGTGCGCTTCTTTACTATTGTGTACTATTACTACTATATCCTAAGTTAGCTAGTTACATTTCTCTACATTTCTGTGGCAAATCCCGTAGAAAACCCAACTGGGTTGACGGGAAGAGCACACATACACACCATCATTTCCCACTCGGACATATAAACTTCATTATCGACCGCAGTGTCAGAGATCTCCTCAGTTGAGCTCAGAAATTTCCAAAGCTAACTATAGAAATTTTTACACGATTTCGGGTAAAAATGCACAAAAACCAACAAGAATTTCCCAAATATTTTTCAGGATTCTCCAACACATATAGTGACCATATCATCATCACAAAAGACACTTTTCCTCCACCATTTCCCATCGCGCCCATTACCGGTCTCATTCACCTTCCGCCCCCCTGTTTTCTTCCCACTACGACCAGCTGGTGTTCGAGCAGCACCTGCCAACTCCTCTACAATGCCTTCCATAAAGTAATCCCCAAAGACCTCTCCTAGTAGCTCTCGATCGTGACTGAGGTGACGATGATGATACTGTTGATGACGGGGCGCGCCTCCTCGTCCCACTCCGCGTTGTTCTTTCACTTGGTGCCTCCTCCGCTCCTATTCTAGCACTATCCTCCAACCCTTCCCCTGCTTTCTACTACTACCTTTATTGATTCTCTCCTTTGCCGACTTCCACGCCGAATCGAATAGTTTCTTCAACCGCTTCCCCTCCGTATGAGCATACTCTCCCGGAGTGTTAAACACGAAACAATTGGTGAACATCAAATTCATATCCTTCTCGAACCCCTCAGGAGAATACAGCGCGTCGCCGTCCAACTTCTCCCCAACTGTCCTCAAGTCCATCGGATCGCTGATCGCCTGAGACCCAAAGAAATTCTTCGCTGTGCGTAATAATAATATCTTTTTTACCATCTTATACCGTCGCTTCACGTCATCGGGTAGCTCACACTCTACCACAGGCTTCACAAAGAAGTACCCTCGGTCCGCTTTCTCCACCCGAGCTCGAACCTTCCGGCACTCATCTCGCCAAGCCATAGGATGAGCACCAAACTGATTACCAGTGTGGAAGGGAGAAAATATGAAAAATCTGAGGAAATTTTTTTTCAGTTTTCCTACTCGAAATTGCACAAAAATTTCTAGAACTTGTGAGGAAACTAGTGAACTCAGCTGAGGAAAGCAAACATATATTCCAACACTGTTGAATTCCCCTTTTTCCACTACAGAACATAAACGCAACCAGAAGAGTCTCCTTCTCCTCCACGTTATCACATCTCATAACATGTCATCACTCCATGTATCATCACTGTCTATCGACCACCTTGATAACAAACAATAAAGGTTTTGTTCTTATCGTTTTGTAAGTGTAGTGGTAGTAGTAACAGCTACAGCAGCAATATTAACATAGTAATTCCCAAAGGGCATTCCCAAGCAACCAAAAGGCTATGAACAATTACCATTACTACTACTACTTCAAAGAGAAGCCTAGCCTTCTACTACTTAGTAAAATCCTAGTAATAATCATAATAATACATATACATTACCACATCGCTCTACAATGGTACTACTATTCCCCTTCTTCCAGCACGTGTCACCACCCACAACTGATAGTATCTCGCCTCGGCCACGGCAACGGCAAGCCTCGCGTCTCCGCAGCATTACCATTACTATCCTCAGTAGAGATTGAACTCTCACTATCAACATCATCAGTGTCAAGCCCCATGAGTGCACCAAAGTCCAGACCAGGATAGCTCTGGGGTAGCTGGCCGTTCTCCGGTACTACTCTTCGTAAGCGTCTGAACTCCCTAGCGATTCTATCGCCCGCATCCTCCGCGAATTCTTTAAATTCATCAAAAGTCGTCGAGGTAATATTCGGGTATACTAATCTTTCCGCAGCCGCATTTAAAAAACTATTTTCATCATAATACCACGTTTCCATCAATTCGTCCTCACACGTGGTTCGCCAACTCCCTTTTGCGCCCTCCGCTTCTACTCCACCGTTGAAAAATGGAGAATTTAAAAATTGTGCCGGAGTGATTCGCTGTTCTGGTAGCCACGTAAAACAAGCCTCAACGGCATCCGACCACGCCTTTTCCATACGGCTGTCCTTTTTAGATCTCAATATTGCTCCCACTCCTACTGCGCTGAACATCATCTGCGATATGTCTACAGTGATCTCATCTCCCGGAGTCACCACTGGTCCGGTATTCACAACGTTAACCCTCGTTCGTGGACCTTCTCCCGGAAATCTGAGTCTATAAGCCTTCGCTCTCCTCTGCCTTGCATAGCGCGGAATTCCTGGATTGACACGAGTGTCACCAAGTCCAACCCACTGCTGTAGATATGACCATTCATGCAGACACTCGAGAGTAGGCATTTGATAATTCTCCACAGTGCGCCATGGAGAGAAGTCTTCACTAATACTATAATACATATATGGCAACGGCCAAGCCTGCCCTCGCTCGAAATTTCCCTGCCCACCTTCAATGTGGTGAATCGAGCTCAGATGTTTTCCCTCCTCATCATAGTACGCCGTCTCTATTATCATCAATGTTTCATAGAAGTCTAAGACCTTATCTCCCCTACCCCTACGAACCGCCCTATCCAGCATTTCAAAAGGCACCGGACCGAGTACACTCGTTATCACATGGAGTTGATGCAGCTCATCCGTACTCTGAAATAGCGGCCTTCTGGTGACCATTTCCACCAACATGCATCCGATGGACCACATGTCTATTGCACACGTATACGGGCGCAGTTCTAAAATCGCCTCGGGCGAGCGGTTATAGCGACTTTGCACATGTTTATGCACAGCATCCCTTTCGTACATTCCACAACCAAAGTCCGCCAAGACCGCTTCTATCAGCCATATCGGTTTCTCCTTATGCGCTGATCTTATTAATACGTTATCCATTTTAACGTCGCAGTGTACAATCCCTAGTAACTTCAACAACACCATTTGCCGAACGACTTGCTCCCCTATATGGACAACTATTTCGAGAGGAAGGCCAGGCCAATGATGATCTTCCGATGACCTCCTACTGCCAATCCTAACGCCTCCATCACATATTCGACGAACCATACTGAACAACAAAAGCGCTCGCCCTGGTGATCGATTTATTGCTTCTTACTCTAGAAGAGTCGTATCAGCGAGTTCAGAGATTATACAAGGGCGGCCCTTGAAAACAAAACTGTCGTAGTACTCCAAAAATGGAGTCTCAAACTGCTGGTCCGGCCAGAATGCTGATCGGACCTCCTCACCTGCTGAGTGAAGTCATCACACAAGTAAAGCTATGGGTCTTCTACCTTCAGGGTAGAAGACAGGCTTTGGTAAATTAAAGCATTTGCCGAGTATAGTCAGCACACGGGCCTCGAACACAGCATGCTGTAAATGCCTGCCAATTTAACAGTAATAGTAGTAGTAGTAGTAGTAGTAGTTCTACTTCTTTGCATACCTGCTATTATTCTTAATTACTTTCATGGCAACTCGCCTAGGAGCGTGCCCCCCGAGTAGACTCTTCATCGCACATAAGTAGACCTACGATAAACGTCCAACACCTATGCATTAGAGCACCCCCCTTCTCCCCTACATTGCCGAATGACCCTTCGCCGAGTTTATCCAGGACTTCATATTCCACATAACGATTGCTCGGGGACGGTATGTTTCGCCCAATGGCGAAATCCGAGTCGCATTCCATCTCGGGTGGAGGTCCTGGTACTGACGCCGCCGCAAGCACGCTGATGGTATAAACATCACCGTTTTCAGGGAGGAGTGGTATCCTACATTGCTCCATTGTGGCAAGATTCACTGCTATCGTTGCTATTTCCTGCGAAATTGCTGTGGACCACCAGCTGCGGTGGGCGAACCGGCTCTTCTTCTTCCTGTTCTTCTTCTTCTTTCTGCTCCGCTTCAGCAGCATTCTCAGCTTCCTTTTGTTTCCTATAAGCCTCCACGTACTTAGCGAAAATTGCCTCTACGCGTTCGCTTTCCTCGATCTCCCATTGGGACTTTTCGACCTTTGGGGTCGGCGGGGGCTCAACTTTGGGGAGATAGGGCAAAGCAGGGAAGGCGTAGTAGCGACAACCATCAGCTGAGTAGCGAAGTTCGAACAGCTCGTCATCGAAGAGATGAGGCCGGTCCAACGCTGGTGGATCGCCAACAACAGGGAATAGAGGACTCGTACCGGGGGAGAACATGTCGGTCAATGGCAATCCTACGATTTGGGGAGAAGATGGTATGTAAAACAGAAACGCAACTCTATTGAAATGATAAGATGACCCTATAAGCGGCTAAACCAGAATTCAGGTCGGTCATGTTCGCCTACCTAGGAGAACAATCGCGAATTCTGGCAAGCCTCGTCCATGGAAGGTGACTGTGGCGTGAAGTACCTCGAGGAGAGTCCTATCATGACTCCGTAACGGGAGTACTTCAGCTCGGTCTCGTGGCAGTCAGCATACTAGAGGGAAGAGCTCATTAGGTTGAGAAAGGGACTGTACCCTATCAGCTGAGGGCTTGGGCTAGTGTGATCTCCCCAATTACCCGCCTGGTAACACGTAGTAGCAGATATCATATCATTAGCAGCAGTACAGAGACCCCAAAGGGCCTTGGGTAGATCTACATAACCAAGGGGCTCTGTGAGGTGGTCGTTTCTATGTTGGCTAGGGGTCAGAGTATGGTCAACAGATGTCGTGGGAGGCACTCTCGATGATAAGAGCTCAAGGGGGCTCATGGAATAGTTTTGCGATCATTTCCGCGCGTAACAGCCAACGCGCTCGCCCAGTTTCAGAAAATGGTATTCTGTAGGGATCGCGCCCTACGCGCTCGCCCTTGTAATCGTTATCGTCTGATCACTTATATTCGCTCGCCATCGATCGCGCTATGCACGTATGCGCACTGTGTGATCATGAACTTAGGATAAGTAGAGTTACAACTCCTTTTTGATCCTTCTCACTCGGCTGCCCTTCCACGAAGGTCTGCCCTTGTTGTGAAGTTCGACTACGCTATCCACTGAAGTCTGGCTACTAGTTGTGTTGCCCAGTAACAGGCACAACATTCTGGTAGCAGCTCCTTGTTGATCGACGACGAGCCCAATGACGAATAATACTGGTGATAATCACCCCCAGGTTGATGAAGCCGCCCCCTTGAGGATTAGTCTCTCGATGCCCCCTGCTTTCGACGGTATCTCCGGTAGCTTTAAGGATTGGCTAAGACGCTATGAACAATGTGCCCTTGCCGCCGGATGGTCCACTGGACAGCAGGCAGAACGCCTTGGTCTGTACTTGAAGGAACCCTTTCTCTCTGGTTGGGATGCTTATGCTAAGAAGGTGAACTTCGAGGAAGACAAGAAGTCCCTCCTGAAGATATTTGATCATGTCCGTCCCCACCAAGCCCTGAAACAGTTCCAAGAGCTACGCTGGTCCAAGGGTCAGCACCCTGCCCTCTATGCTGCAGCTCTACAACGACACCTCAACCGGTACTATACCAAGGAGAAGTTCCCTGAGCTCTCTGAAGCGGACAGGACTAAGAACATGGAGGAGATGATCATCGACCGACTGAAGGCAGATCTACCCCCCATGGTCCGGTTCCAGCTCCTCTTGAAAGAGCCTAAGAACCTCAAGGAGGCTTGTATAATGTGTGATAGCGTTCTTGCCCTGGACGACGTTAACCCCAACACCATGGTCGAGACACCGGCTAAGGTTGCCACAGCCGCTGGTGTTTTCGGTAGCCAACCAGCCGATGACTCTACGGATGCGCTCACGAAAGCTGATGCCAAGCGTATCGAACAGAAGCTCGACAGGATTTTGGGTGGTATGAGACGCAAGAGTGGCGATCCTAAGCAACAGCCAGATACTAATGTCACCTCTACCGTGGCCCTTACTCGGCCTAGGAACTGTGGTATCTGCAAGGCCCAGGATCATCCGACCTACTCCTGCCCCAACAAGAAGTTCTCGGAAGGTTGCTACTGGTGCGGCAAGACTGGTCACTTGGCTAGAGATTGTTACCTGAACCCGAATAAGGTGATCCGTAATACGGCCTCTAAGCCCCCTGGAGGTTCCCCCCTTACCGCTGGGAAACCCCCAAGGCGGTCGATAAGCGGCCCTCGATCGCCAGTACCATTTGCCCTTGAGACTTTCGGCGGGTCTTATGGCAACTTTCTTTACGCCGATATTTCATCTGACAAGGCCGCTCGAGGTCCTTGTCATGCTCTAGTTGATACTGGTAGCTGTTATACTTTATTAGACGAACGTTGTGTCCCGGCTGGTGCCAAGATACAACCTGTTCGTGGACTTGAACTTATTTCTGCACAGGGTCATAGCTTCGATTTGCTAGGAGCTGTCGCCCTTACTCTGTCCTTGTACGATTCGACTAACTTAGATAATCCTTGTTTACCGGAGGCAGACCCCCCGCCGCCGGGTCCAGACCTCCCTCCTGATATCGTGGTACCTATGGTATTTTTGGTGGTGAAGGCGTGTGTTCACCCTATCCTTCTAGGTAGCGACTTCTTGGCACACTATAGGATGTCTGTGGTCTATCAAGAGCTTGGCCCTCCATTACTACAAGGTGTCTTGAAGGACCGACCTATTCCGTCTGTAACGGATGCTGGTCGTGGGTACTCCGTGTCGGCGACCCGAAGGAAACCTGAACCCTTGAAGGTACCTACCCGTATGATTGAATCATTGTCTAACTTACAAAAAAAGAAAACCCCCAGCAAGAATTTGGTTATGCCGCCAGAACCCCCTCTCCGAGGTCCCAACTGCCCTGAGGTTAACTTCGACGATACCCAGGCTTCTCGCCATAACGGTCGGAAGAAGCGAAACGCCAAGCGTAGACGCCGAAGGGATCTCCAAAGGAAGGTTCACAAGAAGGTTCAGAGAGTTGTCGCCTCCGCCTTGCCGTGGCCTCGGTTGATCGCCATGTTATCCGTCAAAGAGCCCTTGACCAACGACGAACTGGCTGCTGATGGGCTACCGACAAAAATGCCGATTCCCGACTCTTGGCTACCCCCGGTTCCACGGCCTGGCGATATCGGAACGTTATGGCCCCCGAGTGGAGTCACTACAGACGATATGGTCGACGATGATATCTCTGGTGCCCTTAGATTCGCGGTCCCCGACCTCACTGATGAGGTCCCTCGTGTTATACTTCCATCTATTGACCTTTCTGTGTATCCCAATAAAAAAAGGTTTGCTAAATTATGTAATGAGTATTCTGATTTATTTTCTTCCCGTCCTGGGAAATGCGATTCCGTTGAGCATGCTATACCATTAAAGTCAGATAAGCCCTTTTCCCAGAAACCACGACCGATTCCCCACAAATGGCGGGATGAAGTCAAGAGTCTTGTGGATAAACTGTTGGAAGAAGGAATGATTCGCCCTAGTACATCTCCGTATCGTTCGCCGTGCGTTTATGTCCCTAAAAAGAATGGCTCAGTGAGAATGTGTATCGACTTTCGTGCGTTGAATGCCCTTACGGAGGTTGATTCGTACACACTGCCTCGTCCTGATGATGTACAAGAGCACTTAGCGGGTTCGAAGGTGTTCAGTACACTTGATTTACAGTCTGGTTATTGGCAGTGCCTTCTTCGTCCTCAGGATATTCATAAGACAGCTTTTTGCCCTGGCCCTGGTTTCCCGCTCTATGAGTGGGTCCGCATGCCCTTCGGACTCTGCTCCGCTGGAGCCACCTTTCAACGTCTGATGGACCAAGTACTTAATGGACTACCTTTTGTTCGGGTCTATCTAGACGACATCCTCGTGTTCTCCCCCGATGCTGAGACTCACGAAGACCATTTGAGACAAGTCTTCGCACGCTTGCGTGCGTGGGGCTTGACGTTGTCCGCCGAGAAGTGCGAGTTCGGTTGCCCTTCTGTGCCCTATTTAGGACACATTTTTGACGGGAACGGTATGAGACCCGATCCGACTAAGGTAGAGGCAATCTTAAGATGGCCTCGCCCTGGTAATGTTGCAGAAATAAGGTCCTTTTTGGGTCTCGCCGGCTACTACCGTAACTTCGTCCCTAACTTCTCGGACGTGGCACGACCAATTCAACGGTTGGTGTCGGAGGTCGGAAGTGAAACCTTGGCTTTGGATACCTACTGGGGACAAGAGCAAGAGGAGTCCTTCCGGGCTCTCAAGCTCCGTCTCGCAGCCCTGCCCTTTCTAGCTTACCCTGATTTCGGTATCCCCTTCGAGCTCTATACTGATGCAAGCGACTATGCCATTGGAGCTGTCCTCATGCAAGAGGGAAGGCCCTTGGGATTTTTCAGTAGGACGTTAACGGGCTCCCAGCTCAACTGGCATACCTATGAGAAGGAGGCGTACGGTATCCTACAAGCCCTGATTTACTTCCAACACTACCATATCGGTTACCCTTTGACGGTTACGGTATATACAGATCATGAGCCCCTGACTTGGCTAGCTAAGGCCGGCTCAAAGAAGCTGGAGCGATGGCTTTTGGCCATGCAGGCGTATTCGTTCATAGTGAAATATGTACCAGGTAAGAAAAATGTGTGCGCTGATGCTCTTTCCAGGATACGCCAGCTCGACGACGATACTCTACCGATGGAGCCGATGGAGTCAGAACCTCTCAGGACGAAGCCAGCCAAGGACGTTGACACTACCCGTGCTCTTGTATCTGTTGTAGCCGCTCGTCGACAATTAGCCGCTTGTATAACGGCATTGTCGGCACGGTGGTCGATCGACGATATAAGGCGAGAGCAGGATAGTGACGATGTCATAAGGAAGGTAAAGGAACGTCTGTCGGATCCGTTGCCCTTACGTAGGACCGAATTGACCGACCTCGCCTTCCGCCCTTATAAGCAGCTGTGGAATCAACTGGATGTGCTAGATGGCCTACTCATACGCCGTCGCAAGTTCGATAACGAACGAGAGCCCCGGTTCCTACCAGTGATACCACCTGCCTTGAGATCTGATGTTGTGGATGCCTACCACAAGGAAGACGGTCACTTCGCCGTACGCAAGACTCTCGACAAGCTCAAGTTGCATGCCTATTGGCCCGGGATGGGCACAGATCTCCTCAACCACGAGAAGACATGCCCTAGATGTACTCAGGTCAAGGCAACGGTACCTCGAGCCCCCTTAGGAGTTATGCCTATCGGCAAACCCTGGGACTTAATTGCTATCGACCACTTGAAGGTGCCCCCCAATGACGATAATATTCGTTCACTATTGGTTGTCCAAGATTACTTCACACGGTGGGCTACGGCCATACCGGTGAAGTCCGAGGATACCACAGAAGTGGTTAGAGCCCTGTTAGGTCTTTTTAGCATTTTCGGGCCCCCTGGTCGTGTGCATAGTGACCAAGGCCCTGCGTTTGAGTCGAATGCCCTTAGGATTGTCCTTGAGCGTTTAGGAGTTGAGAAAAGCCATACCACACCGTATCACCCCTCGGGTGACGGCTTGGTTGAGCGCTTTAACCGATCACTGATTGGCCTCCTCCGTACTCATGTGACCGACTCTTACCAATGGCCTATGTATCTTCCTTCTTTATTGTGGCACTACAACAGTTCTGTTCACTCAGCGACTAGGTTCGCCCCCTTCACACTAATGTTCGGTCGTGAACCGAAGTCTGTCTTTTTGCCATCGTTGCAGGCCCTTGATCAGTTCTCATTCGATCCATTCGGGTATAACGAGTACGTCAAGGCCCTCTCGATCCACCTTGAGGATCTTGTTGACCTCGCCCACGCCTCCGCCTCTGCTGCAGCCCAAGCTTACTACGACAAGAAGGCCACTGCTCGTCAATTCTATGTTGGACAACGTGTACTAGTACGACGTCTTGGCCCTCAAACCGGAAATAAGCTTGAACCTAAGTGGAGCCCCGGTTGGTTTGTGGTTGGTCAGATGCCTGGCCAAGAGAATAAGGTTCTCAAGCTCAAGCACCAAGATACGCTTCAAGTTCGTGTTCTGTCAGCTGATTATGTCGCTATCGACCCCCTTCAGCCCGACGCCGTTCCTGACGCCCTTGGTATTATGCGACAAGATCCACTACTACGTGCTGGATCGCCCTTACCCGACCCCGATCTCAACAACGCCCCCGGTCCTGAACCCCCTGTACGACCCGATGTCATTACAGACAATGTGAGTCCAGGAGATGGTTACCCTGTGGACCCCCTGGCCGGCCCTGAGATACCCCCTGACCCTGATGCTTTACTATGGATTGAAGTCGACTTCCCACAACCACAACCACGAAACTCAAGACAAGAACCCCTGTCGGAAACGATAAGTACGGCGACCCCGGATGATGTCTCTACTGGACGCAGTGGTGAACCTCATCTACCAGAAGAGGGAAGTGCAGGCGATCTCGACGGACGCGTTGAGACCTCGCCAGCCTTGACCCCTTCTAGTTCTTCATGCCTACAACCCGACGACAACACCGACAACAGCGAGTTTCAATCGGTGCCTTCTACAGATTCCT